ACGCTTACATTTGGTGTGCTTTCACAGTAGGAGTTCTGCAAATTAATCCTAGACCCGACACCCCAACCAAGGCCAGCCATCGTGCGGGCTGCGCCGATTGTTGATTTCGGACGTCCGTACATCTCCTCCCCGCCGCCCTGCGCAAGTCCCCCCCAAGCCGGCCCTCCTCGTGCGCATCCTTCGTGATCCCTTTGTGCCCCTGCAGCAAGCCGAACGAGATCACTCTTCGCTTGCGGAAGGCGCTTGCAGTTATGCCAAGTACGAGTATTGCCAGGTCATAAGGGCGCTCCGGAGAATACATGATTCGCGCGTGCTGACCATGCTGTCAGAACAATGGACATGCCATCTGGATGGAAGCCAAAACATCGGGCAAAGAGCCGCGTGTGCGAAGATAGCCATGCTTGCAGAGACCGACCCACCTGCAGAAACGAAGAGCCGCTGACAGCTCTGTAAGTGTCCTCGCTGCTTAGCTCGCTGCCTGGACATCTGATGCAACGTGCAATGTCTTTAGTCGTACCACTGTGGATCCGGATAACTCACCAGGCTGGTGCAGTTGGTGTCGTCCTGATTGACTAAATACAGGATTTAGGCATTGAGTCATGTTGGCGACTTCATCATTCACCAGAAGATGCATCTTGCGGACAGGCATTAGGATTCGATCTTGCAAAAGTTTGGACAGCACGTCAACGGCGCCAGCGCCAGCACATGGAGACCATAAGCATGCGCACCTCGCAGTCTGTGCTTGGAAAGATACGGCAACATCCCCGTCATTTGCAAGCGGCTGGACTCGAAAGATCCTTTGCCCCGAAGAACCCCGTTGCTAATGGGGCCCCCCCCTAGGCCCCTTCGCAGGCTCGTCCCTTGCATTCGCTTGGTCGCAGCAACAACATTTTCCGATTCCTGCCAGCATTAGCTGCAGCATGGTAGTCGGCAGTGTCGGCAGCTTGGCAGATCATGGAACGGCGTGTCCAGTGCCTCAAGTTCGTTAGGTATTACCCACATCACAGTTTGAAAGCCGCAATCTGGGAAGCCACTCGACCTGCCTCTCAATCTCCACTTTGAGTATGTTACACTAGGATCCAGTCAAACACCGCAAGCTGTTTGCACACTACAAATCCCGGCTGCTGGGTGACCAAGTGGCCGGATTTGCGAATTTCGATCCAGACCATGGTGCGGACCGTAGTGACCGTAGAATGGAAGGAAGACACCCGGAGTTTGGTGGGAAACATGGATTAAAACCTGCAAGCCCCAGCGTCCTCATGCTGCGACGGCCGAAGCTCGTCGTATCTGAAATTGCCAGCCTTGAGATGGAACGTCAACAGCTCTTGAGGGCGCCAGCTGTCAACGAGTGCATCGGAGAAGCTTTGCTCCCCTGCTGCTCTGCACACGTCTGATCGGGAACCGCGCTCGCAGCAATGGTCTTGCTGCATGTCGACTAGCTTTAAGCAGCTTGTATGTCCATATGAAGTGCTCCGGCGTGGAAAACTCCTATGAAGGCAAATCGCATCCAATTGCACGTCTTGAAACGGATCGGATCGAGCCCTTGAACAAGGAATGGCCACGGCAAGTGGTTGGGCGACAGCAACATTCGGGTGCAAATGTTCTAGCAAGCTACGACTACTGTATTCACTTGGAGCCATGGCCAAGCCCAGCTCTTGATGTATATGCCCAGCGGCTCAACTGCACTCTCCCCCCCCACCCACACACACACACACACACGGTAAAATGAACTCAACCTTGGGCCTTCGGCCGCTTCGAATGCTGCTTCGCACTTCCGTTTTGGCGAGCACCGCCATACATGTATCGCATGACAAAATCAGGATGCCGTCTGCTCATGGCATTGCAGATGTCCCGGAAGACCTGCAAAATGCAAGGGTCCTTTCTAAGTGGAGGACACTTGCAACCGTAACCGAGAATCAGATTAGACAATGCCTCCGCCATGCATCATCGAGTTGCTTGTATTGTGCCCTTAGACATGTTCATGGCTTGCGTACAATGGCCCCCAGTTGGGCTGTTGGAATCCGAAGCCTACCCCGGATTTAAAAACATTCTGCCTGGTCGAACGGAACAGCTGGAGTGTTCACGATGCCTGAGCCCAGCCCAGCCGCCTGCAAGTGCCTGGTGCGCAATGTGTCGAAGGCCACCACCACTGGCACCAGGTTGGTGTCCAGCGCCTCTTCGTTTCTTTCCGCCAGCTCCTCCAACAAAATTATGCCCGCGGAAATCCGCAAACAGCGACAGACCATACCAGAAGCATGCCATTAGGAGCAGGACGTCACGAACACCGGGCCGCTGGCTCGCTATATGACCCTGTGTACTGCCCGTGCAGGGACAGGCAAACGGGGGACTAAAACGGCTGGGCAACATAGTCTCTGTATCCTGGGATGTTGGCAGTCTGATGCAAAGATGCACCAGCAGATTTAATGTCGGATTTCGCTCAAAAACCCTGAACCTTAGCCTTTAACGCCGACGGCCGACGGAGTGAAGATCGTGCGGTTGGGGGGGGGGCCCTCCTTAATTCCTCTAAAGCAATCATTTTTGTGGTGGTGCGGGGGGGGGCCCCCCACCCCTCCCCCCCTTTAACTATTGAAAACGGACCAGATAAAGTCCTGCGTGCTTTTTTGACCTAGATCTCTCTTGTGAATTGTAAACGACAACTCCCGAAAGCTCCACAGAGCCAGCTTTCGTGACCTAGCAATTTGGAAGGGCACTCCTCCTCTGTCCCCAGAGCACGTACCCAGGACACGTAAAGAGAACGCGCTCATACGACCAAAAAACCGGGAAACCGGGCGGGGGACTATCGCGAATTGTAGCGGAAGCATCAGATCTACGGAGTTGCGGCGACATAATTTCTTTGCCTTTGCCGCTGCTGGACGCACTGCTCTTCGTTGGGGATGACGCTTTCAGGGCCCTGTATCCCTGGGTGTGGCGGGTGCGCGGTGCAAGTGGTAGGTGCGGGTGGCGGGTGGGGCAGTGCGGGTGGTAGGTGCAGGTGGCGGGTGCGGTGGTGCGGGTGGCCGGTGCACCCTGCACCTCCACCCCTGCACCCTGCTCCCGACCCCTGCATACCACCCGCCACCTGCACCCACCACCCGCACCCTACACACCCAGCACTTACACCCGTGCACCTACCACCCGCACCAAACCCCTGCACCGTTGCACCTACCACCCGCACCCTACGCACTTGAGTTTGATAAATTTCATGCATATTGGATGGCGCTCTGAAGTATGGGGCTCGCATGCATAGCTCTTCAGCTTAGATTTTAGGGCTGGTTGCGTTTAGTGCTCAAGAAGACGTTCCAGGATGCAAGTGCTTCGGAAGTACCTGCCCGAAGCCCAACAGTCAGACCGTCGGATCCTAAACTTAAAAATCAAACGTCGAACGATAAGCCG